TCATAGTGTCTGGTTGTTCTGCCGTCAGGCTGAAATAGTCTCTCTGACATCCCCTAGGAGGCCCCAGATTGCGAGAGGGTGCAGGCCAGGCTGAGGGACCCCATTGGTGCATGATCAGGCCGGGGAGGTACAGTGGGAGGGCTCCAGGGTGTGTCCGGCACTTCTTGCTCAGTCCCAATGGGCCGGACTCCAGCAGCAAACTAACCTACCGGTCGGAGCATCTGCCCCTGGTGGTCAGTGAATGTCATAGTGAGCAGTTGAGCAGCCTTAGCATATCATTAGCATATTATGCTTTGATTGGTTGTTCGGTTGTTCTGCCGTTCGGTCTATTTGCATTTTATTAAATGGGACTAGAGGCCCGTTGCACGAAGAGATTTGTGCAATAGGCCTTCCTTCCCCTGGCTGCCGGCACTGTTTTCCTCCGGCAACCGGGACCCAGGCCTTTGGTCCAGCCGCAGCAAGGCAAGGCTTGGCTTCTCCGCTGAGGCCGCAGCAAGGCTTGGCAGCAGAGAAGCCAAGCCTCTTCACTCTTCAGTCTTCGCTCTGGCGCCTGCATATGCAAATTAACTGCCATCTTTGTTGGGTTAATTTGCATACTCATCTGATTGGCTGGTGGGTGTAGCAGAGTGACACCAATTTGCATGTTTCTCTTTTATTAGAGTAGATTATAATGACACCACAGGTAGAAGGGGGACTGAGAAAGACAAACCTCAGGGCACTTTCGGAACAGGTCATATTAGGAACAAGACCCCGCTGCCCCCACCACCAAAAGGCAGAGTCATAATTTGGCACCACAAAGTTCAGAAACAACCTGACCCTTGGAAACATAAACTCTGAAAAGCTGACTGACCCAGTGAGCCTGCATCCACTCCGATGTGTACTTTCACTTCTTTCGCCATGACTGGGGGAGCAGCAGATGGCAGCAGCTGTCCCAGGCTCATCCCGATCCTACTTCCAGGAACCCATGTCCTCGCCTCTTTTTCTACCTAAAGAAAACTCCTTTCGCTCTCACTTGGACTTGTTCTTGAATTCTTTCCTGTGCGAGTCAAGAACCTGGAGGTCCCGGACCCTGCCAGGACAATCTGGTTAACAAGAGGACTGGGAGCAAAAAAACCCACCTGAAACACGAGAGCTGGTTGAGCTACACCACTACTTTCATGGGGACTCGGTGCTTTAGGGAAATCAGTTCCAGATTATTATCAGCAGCTGGGAGCTTGTTAGTCATGCACATTCCTGTCACCTCCACAGACCTGCTGCAGCAGTCACTGTGGGAGTTCTGTGATCTGTGTGTCAACAAGCCCTCCAGGTACTTCTGATAGTGCTCAAGTATGAGGCCCACTGGCTCAGCTAGACTAGTCTGGTTTTTCGATAGCGATCCCCCACTCAAAGGCAGCCAGGAGAGATGGGGGGCAGGGGGATGGGACTCACCCTGGGAGGCTGCCATTCTTTCCAACTGTTCCTACAGGAACTAGGAATTACTGGTAGGAGCATATTGTTTCTGAATCGGTCTCTAGTTTAGCTGTCTCTCCCCAGCAGAGTTAAACAGTACCAGTCCACTCCACCGCCCAAACCAAGGGACTCAGCGTCCCACAAGAAGGGCAGGAATGAAATACGTGCTCTGCTCTGTGAGTGCCTCTTATAGGAATACAGGTGCTATATCTGGGCATGTATAGCTCCAGCAAGTTAAGCCTGCTGGGTGAGGGCCGTACTCCTATGAGAAAATGTGATCTTCCCTGAAAGGCCTGGTCATTCCTGGTATCATTTCCCAGAGGAAGTACCAGTCCCTGAGGGGGAGGGCTTTAGGAAGGCAGAAAGGACTCATCATCACTCTGCGTCTCTCCTTGTCAAGAGTAGTTTTTTCAAACTGTGGCCCAGGGACCACTGACATTAGAAGTCCTCAGAGCTCAAACGTGCAGATACGTGGGCTCTGCCCTGGGCCTACTCTAGCTGAATCTCCTGGAATGGCGTTAGAAATCTACATTTTAACAAAAACAAACCAAACAAACAAAACCTGGACATAAAGGACCTTGGGAATACTGAAGATCACTGGCCAGGCCCAGGTCTCAGGTGTGGGGTTAACATG